TCAAAAATACCTCAGTTAATCTTAATTTTTTTTTTCTCTTGAATTGCCTTAAGCACAGTTACTTGTGTTAACTATGAAAACCAGCTTTTCTGCTTCGAATTTAAGTAATAACCAATTTTTTTATTTCTTATTTCTAGCTTTGTCCACTATTGAGAAAAGTTGCTAGTTATGCAAATTTATAACATTCCAAAATCGTGAAACAATTTTGTTCCCATCATATTTTACGTAATAAAATTTTTTTGCTTTAAATTATAGAGAACGAAACAATAAGTGTGGGAAATAATTTTCCAATTCGCAATAGCTGAGATGGCAATTTTTCCAGTTTTTTTGTCCTCATTTTGAGCAGCGCTTGAACTTTTGGAGATTATTTACATACATTTAAATTATTATATAAAAAAAGTATTTCTTGTATTTTGTTAGAAATATATTAGCAAGTATGAAAATAAGTCCTTTTTAATTATAAAAGCATGCTTGCTAATATTTCGGAGACTACAAAACTCCACAGAGGAGAAAAGTTACGACCCCCGTATCCCGCATTTGGTTACACCCCCTGAGTTCAGATTCAAAAATTATGATGAAGAGTAAAATGATATTTGAAATGACAATAGATTTATGCAGTTTTTCTTCAAAATGTTTACTACACAGAGTAAACTAATTTTACATTTGTTTCCAGTTCCTGCATAAATCGAAGTAGATCATGATGGTACTTTTTCTAACTGTATCCGATTTCTTCATTCTAAAACTTTTTTACTAGGAATACGAGTATAAACCTTTAAGGAATATTTAAGCAATCGAATTTTTTATATTTTCTCTAAGTATATTGATATTGAAAAAAAAATTAAAATAATAAAAACAGGAAAGTAGTAGAGTAAACAAAGTTTTTTTATTGCTATATTTCGATTTCAAATTCATTATTTTAAAAAGTAGTAATGAGAGCTCTTCCCTGTTTTTCGAAGCTCTGTTGCCAAAGAAAATAGGAAAAAAAGCATATTTTAAGTGCCTTACACTTAAAGCAATACGACGATTTTAAACTATATATATAATCTTGCCGCGAAGAATTATCTGACCATTATAACAAACAAATAACTTAAATATTTCAAAAGTTATTAATTTTTTTAAAAAATGCCAATTTGGCGACATTTTTCCACTTGGATGAAAATTATGAAAATCACTGCCTTATACTAAGTTTTTGCAAGTTTTTATGAGCCCAAGTAATGCAGCATTGGAATAAGAGTTTAAATATTAAAAAATTAGATCACAACTGCTTTTCATTTTCACAAAACTGGCTTTTCTTCAGATTGACGTTTTGCGCCATTTTCAAAAAAAAACGTTTACAGTGCTGGCTTTAGATAGGCTAAACTTGACGTAACAGTGATGAGTAACAATTGCAAAATCACAGAAATTTTAAAAATAACATATTATTAGCAAAAAAGCATAATTTCATATTACGACGGAGCTTTCGAAAAACAGCCTTAAGTTAAATCACTTATTGATAACTAGAATTTCTGTATGTATAAGTTACGCTAATAATTCTTAGGCCACAGGTAACTCTCATTTTGCTTTTATAACAATTTTAGAAGGTCACAACTCCAAATAAATCTACTTAAAAAAAGCTCAAAAATAAATTTTCGACAAAAATTTTGAGAAATGAAATATGATTCAACTGTAATCTGCGAACAAATGAAATAAACGCGGTTATATATTTTCGTCTCCAATTGTTCATTTCATTCCATCCGTTTCATCTTAGTTTAGATTGAAATTAAACATTTAAAGGTTAAATTATTTATTGAATTAGCTTCAAAAATGATAAAACTGTCTCAGCAAACTACTCTAAAATACCCAATCACATTAATGTAAGCAAGATAACAACCAAAGAAGCTAGAAAAAAAAACTATTTATTTATATATAATAAAAAAACGTAACAAATTTAGATTGCTTTGGATCTAATTATTTGTGAAATGAATGAGTTCATCATTAAAAGACTAAAAATTAAATTTGTTAATTTATGTTGAATTGAATTCCTAGTTAATGAGTTAATGAAGTTTGACAGATTTCGAAACAAATGCCCAAGATTTTTATTATCTAGGGAAGAAATTAATGAGACGTTTTAGCTTCTTAATGAAATTATTAAACTATCTGTCACTTGTAACCCCAACGGTTTCCACTCTGTCTTGTTCTCTTGGAAATATCATGATATGCGCATACTTTTAAAGTTTATTGGGCGTCTTTCACAACAACACTTTTCTTATTTATTTTATTCAAGAATTAATATATACTTTCAAGCTGCAAGCTGGCGAAACTAAATATTTATAATAAAATAAGTGTCTTAAACATTAAAACTCATAAAAGCATGAATCTCATTTTATGTTTACCATATTCCAGACTACGGTTGTGAAAGCGCAATATTTCGTAGATGTAAAAACTACCTTTCATAAAAAAAAGTGATATAGAATTTAGGCAAATGATGATAGTGTATACTTTATATACCATATTCCAGACTACGGTTTTGAAAGCGCAATATTTCGTAGATGTAAAAACTACCTTTCATAAAAAAAAGTGATATAGAATTTAGGCAAATGATGATAGTGTATACTTTATATACCATATTCCAGACTACGGTTTTGAAAGCGCAATATTTCGTAGATGTAAAAACTACCTTTCATAAAAAAAAGTGATATAGAATTTAGGCAAATGATGATAGTGTATACTTTATATACCATATTCCAGACTACGGTTGTGAAAGCGCAATATTTCGTAGATGTAAAAAATGCCTTTCATAAAAAAAAAGTGATAAAGCATTTAAGCAGATTATGATAGTGTATACTTTGTACATAAATAAAGCAAAACAGCTTAAATAAATGTAAAAAATAGACATTCTATTGCTTTGGTTTTATAAACAAGAACCTTCCTCAGTGTCGAAACCCAAAATGACAGAAGAAAGTAACGAGACATGCAGGACCCGCGATAAACATTTGCCACCTCACCAAATGCGATAAAATAGTAACTTTTGTACCGAAAAGTAAAAATACTTATTCCCCTTGATCTAAAAGGAAAAAAAAAGATTAAAGGGAATTTTTCTGAACAAATCCTGTATTTTTTTATTCTATTACGGTAATTTCCGTTAGATATGTCCCATAACAATTTAGAATTATATTAAGTCCAGATAATGTAAGCAATAAAAGATACTATTTAAGCATGAGACAAATTACCATTAAATAGAGAAGACCACTTTCGTTGCCGGATCACGCGATATCAAGTGGACAAATTTTTCCCTACATTTTGTATCAATAAAACAGATCAAGTGTTAGCAAGGTACATATTATCATTCAACTACTTCTGCAGAAAATATTTCATCTTGTGACAATACTATATACAATAACGGGAAAATAACATAATGTTGCTTCAGGTTTATTCGTATGTTACTGCTCTAGTCTATGAATTATCAAAATTTAACCCCAACCTGCTCCTTTTTCTTTTCCTCTAAGATGATAAAACAATATCTACATTTTTCATCCTCTCTCCCACTCATTGACTCCCTCCCCAACTGCGAAATGACTCTTGATTTGAATTTTCACTTTATAAAATAATTCAATTTATTGTCGATTTGTATTTTGATTTGAAGTTTTCAATGGGAAATATCAATCACACATAAAAAATCGTTAAGATTTGACTTTGGCTAAGAATTTTAAAATTTGGCTAACACTTTTGATATTTGGCAAATTTACTAGCTAAGAATTTTAAATCGGTAGCTCGGGTCATGGACAAAGATGCTGCAATAAGAAAAGAGTGGTTTAATCAATAAAGTAAGAGGAACCAGTTTGAACAAATTAATGAAAGAAAGGACAAACAAAACAGATGTGAGCAGATTGGGTAGGAACCTCAAGGTGCAAGATGTAGAAATTAAATTAGAACAGATTTCCAAACATTAGCAAAGAATAGGATAGTATAAAGATCATGAATTGAATTATTAGCATATTTTAAAAATATGGAATGATTCCCAGAAGTCACGGTCGGTAGATGAAGAGCAGTGTCTAAAAATTTTTGTTAAAGAAAATTCAAGCACGATAAAGTAAAAAAATTGTATACATTATAATATAAAATAAACCGGTTGGTAGTTCGTGAGAAGTATATAAAATTAATTTAAGAAGCTTATTGCGTAGTATGCTACAATATAAATATTTTATACTTTATAATTGCGTAAGTTTTCAATAAATAAAAAAAAATAATGAAAAATACCCTTTTGGTAAACGAGTTCTATATAAGTTAGTGTTGAGAATAACCTAAACATAGTTAAGGTTATGAATTGGAGAGGAGTGACCAAATGTAGAGTTGCCTGGCGAAAACTTCTGGTAAAGACCAGGGCCCACCTAGAGCTGTCGAGCCACTGAAGAAAGACCTTAGGGTAAAAACTTTCGAACATTCTCCGAAGTAAACAATATGAAGCTTTTATTTCTCAGATTAGGTTGAACGCTCTCTTCGCCTATGTCGATTGTTAAGAAAAAGCAAAAAAATATGTTGGGAAGAATTTTTAATTTTATTAACAGTTTTCACTTTATCTTTCAGTGGTTAGGCAGGCTAATAAGCTAATTAGTACTTAGAAATTAGCATATTGAAAGTGAACAACTTGAATCATGAATATTGCAATTTAATATGACTCCAAATGCGACTATTAAGTAAAAAAATATTCAAATTTTTTTGTAATGCTTATTATCATCCTATTACTTTTAAAAACTTAAATAGTGTCTTTCTTAAAAACTTGTAAAAAAAAACACATTTTTCTTTTAACTTAGTAACCCGATTAAGATGAAAAAAGCCGCAGTTATGAAAATTCTTTCTTAGTGTTAAAAGTTCCCGTCTGGAAATTATATAACCTAATCATTTTTTAAAATCTTATATTATGAGCTCAATGAAGAATGTAATGTCACTTAGAAAATAGAAGAAGTCTAAAATATAATGTTGTAGATTCAATATGCAATTGTTAGAACAAAAAATTCAAATACTTTCCTGCTAAAAACTAATTTATTAAAATGAAAACCTTTTATTAGCTAATAAGACAACACCATTGTTACAAACACCGCAGTAATGAAAATTCTTTCACAGTGTACAAACACTGGATACATTGAAATGACAACTATTACATAAGCAAATGGCATAACACATTGTTACAAACATTAAACAAGATATTTTTAAAAACATGATTTGGTTTGTAAAAGTGTAAAAGCTAAAAATGTGATTACTCAAATCTTCTTTCATCTTGGAGTAGATCCAAAGGCAGACACAAAAACGTTTGATACAGTAATAAGAAAAATACCGATGATTGTAAGGTTGTTGATAAGTTCTGCTTTTGATTGATGGCTTACTAAATTGATGTTATATCGAGTATTTAAAATCAAAAGAACACCAACAATCAGCTGAAAAATTAAATTTTTGTGATAAGTTTCAAACAGTATTAAATTTTAATTTCAACTTAATAACAGTTATTTTTTGTAACAGTTATTTTTGTAACAGTTATTTTGTAACAGTTATTTTTTATTATCAACATACTTTTTAATAACAGTTATTTTTTGCTGCTCTGGAAAAAAAGTATAGACCAAACTATCAGAGCATGGTAAATTTTACTCTGTTTCTGGCTCTAGGGAAACACTAGAAAGATTGGAAAATTTTAGCGAAATGCATTGGAAATGATTTTAATAAAATTGACAATAAAATGTGGTTTTATAATTTGTGATAAAAGTTGGTAAATGGCGTAAAATTCGGTAATTTTATCGTTATCATGATACTTGAGGGCATAGCATAAAAGCTATTTATTCGGTTCATCTACTTTTCATTATAAATAAGAAATAAAATTTTGAAAACCAGAATTTTCGGTAAACCGCGACCCTATGAAGGAAAAAATTACAAAATGAATGCTTTAAATACCGTATATTTTGGTTTTATTAACCAAAATTATTATTGTTATTATTTTGCCAGAAATGTCATTACTATACAGTAAGGTAATTTTACTAGAGATTTTTTTCTCTGCATGAGCTACAATAGACGTTACATTTTTGTTACTGTGCCAACAATATTAAACAGTACAGCGAAAACGGGATTATTAATTGCTATATTGCTTCTTTTTCGGAATTTATGATAACATTTTATATATATTCAAGTTTAAGCACCAATTCCACTTTATTCCAATTTTATTAATAAAATTATTTTAAGACCAGGAATTTATTTTCGGAAGACTCATCATTTCAGTATTTCTGTGAACAGATATTCGTTGAACCAATTGATGGACTAAAGTTGCGTAAAATGTCCTACAAAATACGTTTTCAAAAGGATTCAATTTGATTAATTTCCCGAAAATGTGAAGCATGGCGAAGAAGTAGTAGAAATTTAATGTACAAACGAAACTACATAAAAGTTTCTTAAAAAAAAAATCGGGGATAACTTTTTTTAAGAAAAGATAAATTATAGTTGTATTATGTTTAGCCATTATAATTATATTATGTTACCAATATGCTGCAATGATAAAGGTTACCCATAAGCCTTTATCACTGGTGAGATTTTTCTCACCACTCGAGGCGAAAATCGCTTCTAAGTGCTTATTACTCTAGACTTCTTGCATTTTCCTTTTTGCTTTAAGAACAAAGGAAAAAATCGGAAGGTTAAATAGAGGATTTCACAGTGAAACATCAAAAAGTATGGTGTAGTAAAAAAAAGCACAAAAGTGCTGCGACTAGAAACTCAATGTTTAATGGAATAAAGCAAAAAACGTTGCATATTACTCAGAAAATACAGGATGTTCTGTAATCTTTGTTCTCAATATATATATTTAGAAGCTTTGTAAAAACTAAAGTAAAATGTATGGGCGTTGATTTGCTGAAGTTAAAATTTCAAAGGAAAAAAAATATATAAATCTGTTGACTCACAGACGGGAAAGGCAAGATTAATGCTGTTTCATTGCTGGAAGAAATTTGGAGGTGTTTCTAGCAACCACCTTCTAATATATCTTTGTTTCCTTTGGCAAGCAAACAAATTTGGATGCTTTCAATATACATTCCTAGATAATATTTCGTTAGGTTGGGATAAAGTTCTTTCTTTTTTTCCCAAGCTTAAGTATTAATTTGAGCACCATAATGTGCATATATATGGCAGTATTTTCGACAAAGGTTCTAAAATTATATTTTAAGAGACGTGATTTTAAGGGAAGAGATTGAAATTAATTAAAACTTAAGCTCACTATTTCAATTATTGTAATGAAAAAAAAATTATATACGTTTTTATTTCATTCGACAAATTGTTTCAATTATTTTTAATTTAACCTTCGGAATATATATATAAGTGAAAAAAATATTCTGAATTTTTTTTTCCATTTAATTAATTCTTTGCGACTTAAACAATAAGCAAAATTTAGAATGGAACACCAGATTAACTTTTATAAACCTATAAAATTTTTATGAACTAAAATGCAATCAGTATGGTTTAAGCTAGGGATGGGCAAACTACGCCCCGCGGGCCAACTGTGGCCCGCCGGAAGATTTTATCCGGCCCACGGACCGAATTTTAACTTTTTACTTTCTCTATTTTTGTTCTACAAAACATAAATTAATTAAAATAGTTAGCATTAACAGCTTCAATTGATAAAACGTTGAAAGCAAAAGTTCCTTATAGAATAGCCGTAGATTAGCTCCAAATAGTATTTGTCTTTCTCGAGGAGCAGACATATGGAATCTAATATAGGTGAATTGTACTTCACATGAGGCTTACTACGCATTTTAAGTTCCAACGAGCGGATTTTTCCTCCGGCGTGAGTTCTAACATAATTTACTGCGTATGGCAGTGTTTCCCAAACTTACCTTTTTTGTGTACCCTTTCTAAATTTTTTTTAGCGCTGTGTACCACTAATTAAAAAATTAATGTATTTTTTACTATAGAAAAATTGCACAAAAGTTAAAAATCACAACTGGCTGTATGCACCACTAATTATTAACTGTTAACTCTGCAAAAAATAGCCAATAGAAAAGTACGTAATCGTAAATTTTCATGGCTAGCTTTGTTATNCATTGTAAATAATGGTGAAATTATTAAATGTATGAAATGGCTACTGCCTTTTTGAGTTATTTGTAAACATTTTTAATCCCAAAATGGCAACTAAAAAATGCAAAGTTGATGTAGAGTGCCATGCGTTCAATGGTGAATTGACTTTATTTTATTTCAGAAGTTAGAATTTTTATTTTAGAAGTTTTTACTCGGCCCACCAAACTTTTTTTTTCTAGATTTTTGGCCCACGACCAAAAATTTTTGCCCATCCCTGGTTTAAGCTAATCATGAGAATGCTAATTAATTAGTGCAGATGATATTTTAAGCAACGAAATCATACACAAAGACCTCTTTCTCTGAATTTTAGAAAGATACTTTTTTAAGATAGGATTTAAATTAGAGGCACTCAGTATATGGAGAGTAGCCGCAATCTGAAAAAATATGATTCTAATAGTTTTGTCAAGAAAGTGGACCCTAAATGTAAATTTTACTGTTCGGACCCTAAATGTAAATTTTACTGTAATTTTATTTCGTCATTTATCTGAAACTATTTGAAAGAGGAAAAAAAAGATTAACACATAATCATAAAACTTCTTCATTCAAAGATAAATTCCTGCAAAATATTTTTTAAAGAACAATAATAATTTTTTATTTCATAATTTCATAATGGTCGAAAATTCTTTGGATTGTAATGCATACATCTCATTTTAACAATGAAGTTTTAAATGACAAAATACAAAATTTTAACAGAATGATTTTAACGTTCAAAATTTCAGAATTTGATATTTTAAAATACATGTTTTAAAAAGAATTGGTAAAAATTTGTGTACCTTAAAATTTAAATTTTTTTCGATTATTTTTAAAATAAATTTCGAAAAAAGAAATGATTATAAGAATAATTTTTTGCATGAAATGAACCTTAAAATAGTTTTATAAGTGTGCGTAAAATTTTTTTAACTGCCCCAATAATTCCTGAGAAGCGCAGTTAGCAAAAAGTGAAATTAACATTACGGGAACCAAACGTCCGACTGCTCTCTTAACTAAACAGTTGTGGCCATATATTCTTGACTCCCGTAACTACCCTTCCCTAATATTTTGTGAGTCAAGAATCTACATGCATAAAAAAAGAACATTTGTGTATAAAAATATGTTTTTGTGACTGATTATGTAACTTAAGATATCATCTGTTCTATTTAATTAGCACGTGAATATCCAAGAAACTATTCAGGTATTCCTTTTCTTACTTTGCGCAATGTGTAATGGTTTAAATTTTGAAAAGGATGTACCCTAATGTATAGAGTGAGTTGAGTAAAAATATGCGAAAATTCACTGAATTCTGTTATTCAATACAGTTACAAATTTGAAGAGAAAGTAAAACAAATCTTAATTGAGATATGTACTGAGATGTCATCAAACGCTTTTAAGGGTGCTTCACAATAATGAACTGGAGGTTCGTGCACATTTGAAACGGCATTTTTATCTATCTAAATTTTCTTAATTTTATGTTAATTTTACTGTCCTTTATTAATATTTTATAAAAAATGCATTCAAACAGGCTCAGAAATAGCTATTTTACATAATTTAATTATCTGCTGGTGATTCACTCGTCATTAAATTATGATAAAAACGGTTATTTCTAGCATTGTTCTAATACAATTTTGATAGTAATTACCATTCAACGTCAAATTAAAATGTTAAGTGCAAGATACACATCAAATGTCTCATATGTTTTTACCAGTAGTGAAGAAGAGAAACTAACCTGTAAAGCTATAGAAACTCCAATACATATGACATTTACAAGGTAGAATCGACTGTCAGCTCCTTCCTTTAAAATGTATTTCAACTGTGAAGCATTTGCAGTGAGGAGGGCAATATCCATCATACCTTGAGCCACGCTTTTCTTCGTGGCATACAGATTGACATCGATACCTGGTTTGTAGGGTCGAGCACATCGAGGTTGCTCCTGAAATTATTGGATTAAGAGTCTAAAGTTAAACAATAATGAAAAAACAACCAAAAAGAAATAAACAATCAGCAATTTGAAAAGACGTAAATAAAAAAAGCCCATTAGAAGTAGAATACTGTTAAATGTCAACAATTAAATTTTTAACACTGTTAAATGTTAACAATTAAATTTTTAACAGTGTTTTACATTTTACATTTTTTTCCTCAAATAGAGCTGTTTTATACACAATCAGAAAAATTGATTCAATAGAAAAATTATTATCACCAATTATTTTATGCCTAATTTCGGAATAAAAAGAAAGACATCAAAATTATAGTAGGATGCTATGACAGAATTTTTGATATTCCGATTTTTAGAAATTTCATACGTATTTAGATGCAGATTTAAAGCCACCATTTGCATCTTTAATTATAATATGTATTTTACTGCAGACTTATAAAATCTTAAAACACGTGGTTCAAATTTGGGACTTATATATCGGTTAAAACGTGTTATTTAGCATATCCGTCGGTTAGGCTTGCAAAGTCTCACAATGAAACTCTTTTAGTTTTTCTATTTATCCCATAAAGAACACAAGGTCCAAATTTTAGCTTTATGGGACATGGGGGGAAACCATTTGTTACTACTAGGTTCCGAGATTCAATTTGTTTTTAAAACTTTGCACTTCGAGAATAAATGTATCTAATAGCGATATCAGTTAATGATTTTTATTATAAAAATTATTATAATTATTATTATTTTAATAATTCTAATTATTATCATTATTATTTTTATCAAGATAGTTTTGTTACGTCACAATGTAAGTAATTGCCATAAAAATGAGTGCTTAAAGCGTTTTTTCCTTAAAATTAATGTCTAGAAAATGTATATTCGTACATAATTGATGCTCTACAACTTTGCATTTTACTTTTTGTGAATAATTAGCACCATTTTTATGATAGAAACACCAACTCGCCAATTTTTCCCCAGGTGGCCGAGTAAGCTGTCTCATATTGTAATGCGTAACTCTTTTCTAATATCTAAATACCACTTTTATAACTATAGCGGTAGTCGTTCGACACTTTAAAGTATGGATGTAAGCCTCAGTGAACTTTGAATTGAAAATTTAAAATTCATATAAATGAGAAAGATAAAGAATATTTATTTCAAAACTTATTTGGAGGAAGAACTATGCCTTAGCAAACTTTGGAGCGTTTTCTAAAAACAACGTTTACCATACTCCCGTCGTAAACACACAGCATTCACTTAAAATTATTTAACAAAATTCCGTTGAAATTCGATATTTTTTTTCACTTAAAAAAAGTTACTGTCACCGTCACCAAAAAGTTACTGTTATAGTCACCGTCACCAACGGTGGCATAAAATTTTATCTCTCGCTTCTCACTCTCATTACGCTAAAACTATGAGATAAAAATATTATGAAATTTTACTCATTTTTAGGGAAATGTATTCTGATATAAAAATGTTATTGATGCGAACATTAATCTTTTTAATTATTTAATGTTGAAGTTTTTTTTTCAGTTCTTTCAATTAAGCTAAAACTACTAACCATACAATTATTATTTTCTTCATTTGCAGCCACAAACATTTATGTTTGAAAATGAGCAACACTACACTCTTTGATTAATTTTCTAATAAGCTTTACAGTAATCAAATCGTAACTTTGTGTATTTTTAGAAAATGTTTCAGTTGGCCGAATACATTTTTAGTTTCACAAGATTTCTTGTCTCAAGTAAGTATACTTAAAATGATGTAAAAATAATATGTAGGGACAAGTGACACAACATGGAGTACAATGCAAGCCACTCTTTAGATATTCAACTTCATAATTTTACTCGAAAATTAGTAATGAAACATAAAATAATAACAGCATAAGAGCAGCATGATAAATGCAAAAATGTGAATTCAGTTGCATAAACTGAATACAGCAACGTAAAAAGCCATAAGCAGTTAAGAGGCGTTTAAAAATTCCCCTAGTTCCCCTTTTTAATGTTCTGTTGTTTTTAAAAAATATTAGGTTTGGAAAGATATGCTAAAAATTTAATAAAACAGTAAAATAGGGAGGATAAATTTAACAGCATAAATTTAAAATAATGACAGCAGTAGAGTAGCATGATAAATGCAAAAATGTACATTCAGATGCATAAACTGAATACAGCAACATAAAAAGTCATAAGCAGTTAAGAGGCTTTTAAAAATTCCTCTAATTCCCCTTTTTAATGTTCTGTTGTTTTTAAAAAATATTAGGTTTGGAAAGATATGTTAAAAACTTAATAAAACAGTAAAATAGGTAAGATAAATTTTTTATTCCTTACTGTGAACAATGGTATCGATATCTAATTAGTGACACAAAAAAAATGATAACTCTTTTAATTTTTACAGAAGGAAAATTCCCACATTTTCGAAAGTCATATTTGCTGACCTTAAAAGCACACAACTCAGTTAAAAAAAATCATGGATTTCTAATAATTTTGATTAAAATAGCTCTTTTTGCTTACACTTACTTCAATTTTCAGTAACTTTCATTAGTTTAAAAAATTTTTTTAAATTAAAACTGCCTGATACGGATGTAACACAGCATGTTACATTACAAGATAATGAAAATTGGAATAAGTGTAAATGACACCAATAATTATTTTATTAAAAGTTATTAGGACTGCATGATTTAAAGCCAAAAATTGTGGAATAACCCATAAAATGTCTATAATAACTTATATGAATATCTCGTAGTAGTATGTTTTCCTAGAAACTAATTCCTAAAAACTTCACTCCTTTACTCATATTAATTTCTGAAATTAACTTATTTAAAAGGCTGAAAAAAAGCATACCCTTTCTTAATTGGCTTGTAACTGCAATTATAATTAAAAATAAATGCAATATTAATTATTAACATTTTGATATGTTCCTGATAATAAAGAAATGATAATAAATATTTTCTTCATTTATTTAGTTTGTATATAGAATAAACAATAACAATAATTCGTTATTACAGATCACATCCACAACATTTTTATCATTCACTAGGAGATTATTATTTTTTCATTATTATTATTATTACTATTATTATTATTATTATTGAAATTAGGTTATTCTGTTTCGATACAAACAGATTCTGGTTATTGTAAGGGACCTAAGCAACGGGCTCTGTATCTAGAAGACCCTACTTTATGCTTAAGAATGTAAGGCAAATGGCAAATTAATTATAAGATCGATATTCGTTTAATTTGAAAGCTTTAACGTACAATTTATAAAAACTATGAAAATATGTAGACAAATTAAATACTGTCCCAAAAAGTTTTCGGAGTACAAACATAAAGTTTTAAGCAAAGACGGCACAAATTTTATGCTGCTGTCCCAAGCTCAAATTTTTCGTACAGTCAGGCCTTGAATGCAAAATATCAATCTAAATTTTGAGAGTTTCACCCTGAAAATTGCACAGAAAATGTTTTAAAAAACATACCATTGAATCCTGATCCTTATTGGCAACAGGAATTTTCAAACCTCTGAAGGTTTTTTTCAGGTTAAATTTCTTCATAGTAAACAAAGGATGTGTCTAAATTCCCTAAGTGTTAGCTGTTAACATTCTTTTAAGATCTTTCCTGTTTGTACGAATTATAAACTGAAAGTATCACTTAATTACCTTTTCACTGCATAATAGCTCGTAATATGCTGTTCTTTCCCTTATCTTAAGAGTTTTAAATCTTGAAGTTAATCGTTGGAATGTTTGAGGTAATTACAATTGAATCAAGGTCAGCGATCATGGACAAACATTCAACATATAAAATGAAACAATGAAGTAAATGTCAGTTCTCGCATGCTTTTCCTTACAAGAAGTGATAGTATTTTGTATATTAAAGACTTCCTGATGTACTGTCCATTCAGGATAATTCAGAAGACAATTTCGAAATGAATTTGACTTATTTCTTTAGTTGACTGTTTTTTTCTCAAGCAATTAAGTTATGTTTGACAACAATGTCGACACGTGGCTCAAAAAAAAAGAAGGGTTATTAGGTTGGTGCGTAGGAAACATTGATTTTTAAGTGAATATATAAAACTGCATATCTCTTGTCAAAAGCTGTTTATTTCGTCAAAATAGGCTCTAATTGCTTCAATGCACTTTCCCCAACAAGATTTTAATGCATAGATGCCTGTCTTAAAGAAATTTTGACCTTTATATAATAATATAAAAAGTTCAATGCAGTAACAAGGAAAGTTCAAATTCACAAATCATGGGTGGCACGTGAATGGAATTTACATAGCCCCTCTTACACTGTTTACCACACAGCGAAGGTTTATTTTATATTTTCTGTTTGGTTCTTACACTAACAATTAAAGCAGCTATATTGTCCACAGTCAAAAATACATTGAAATGAAAGAAAAAAATGGATTTACATTGTTCTTGCACAGGATTCCTCGCAAACAAAAAACTTTTAATTAGCGCAATTGGTAACGGATATATAATCAAAAACTTCAAACACTTTGTTCGAAGTTCAAACATTCTAAGCTGAAGCATTTTTAACACGTTCTTATTCACGTTATAATTTTATTTGTTAAAGAATATTTCACAAAAAATAAATGAAACTGTATTAACGTTCGTCATGGGTGGCAAATGAAGTATTATACTTAATATTTTGCAGCTCCAAAAATTTTATTTTGTTTATATATAGAGAAGATTAAACTTAATTCGAAACGTCGTACCACCAACGAAATATTCCTCAACTCTAATGTATTATGCAGGTAAACAAAAATATAACCTTTTCGGCAAATAAGTACTCAACTAAATAATAGAAAACAACACGAAATTATTAAAATCTTTATAAGCTTATACCAATACAGTTTTTTTATGAAGAATAACCTGGGTCAGAACTGAGGGGGGAAAAAGTATAGTCAAAACTACCAGAATATGGTAAAGTTTACCGTTTTCTGGATCTTTGGGAGCACCAAAAAGCTCGGTAATTCTTACCCAAGCGCTTTAGTAAGGATTTTGGAAAAATTAA